GAAAGACTTAATGTTTTACACATCCAATTCAGATAATATGATGGAAGAAACTCCATCTAATTGTAATATCATATAAAATAAAAATAAAATATCAGTATAAGGTATTGAAGAAATTGAAGTAATCACTTCTTATTAATAATAATAACAAAACGAAGAAATATCTAATAATTGACTTTTTTTAATAATTTATATCTATATAATAAAAAATATCATATTTTATAGTTTTTTTTATTGGAATGATGTTACTTATAGTAAAGCAAAATATCAAAATAAAACAGTTAAAATGTCTTAAAAACACAGTCTTGATAGAACTACAAAATTCTAAGAACTATGAGAGTCATTAATTTATGTTGAGTGAAAATTTACTTAAGGACTACCTCATTACCAGCGGCACTAATTACAATAGCAAAGACGTTGTAATAAAAGAGATTGTTGAGGTGGTAAATAAACTTCATTTATCTCTTTGCTTTGACTCTATAACAAAAACTATAATGATGTATGGAGAGTTACTTTATAACTATGAAGTTTATCAATACAGTTTTCCTATTCTTGTGGAGATTTCTTCTTCTTATCCTACATTATTACCATTTATTAAACTTAACTTGCCTCACGTGCCACATTGTTCCGTGTTGAATAATGATGGTTCTTTTAATTTGAAACAACTGGTAGGCAATAAAACATTGACCTTGGTAAATATTTTTGACCTGATTATTGTTCAATTAAAGTTAATTCCTCTTCAATCAATTCCTTTCTATTTTCTGCCAAATTCATCAAGTGCCGTAGGTTCATCTCAATACAAGCCACATATAATTCAGCCAAACTTAGTTAATACTAAAACTGAATCTTCTCTAGTCTATCCTAAAGACATCCAACTTCCAAAACAAAACGAAGTTAAAAATGAACTAATCACTATTAAACCGATATTACCAATAAATATTAAACCAATATTTCCTATCAACACACAAATCAAAAGTAATCCAACTAAGCCAGCTCAAAAAATTATTACTGGAAAAGAATATATACCAGGATTCGAGAGCATTAATTCATACCTTGATTATATTGACTATGAAAAAGAATTAAAACACTATGAGGAACTTTTAGAAAACCACCAAATTACAAAGGAAGCTTATAATATATTCAAATCAGGTATTTATCCAAAAGACCCATTACCACCACCACCAGAGAGGTACGAAGACATATTGGAATTGTACAAAATTGGTAATATTACAAGGAACGAAATTAATTTAAATGTATCACCCTTAAGTAAAGAAGAAAGGATTTATATTAAAAATATGGATGAGCTTGATGAAATGCAAAAAACTTTTGCTGAAATGTTTCTTGATGGAGAGATAGAAGAAGAAGAGATGACATTTCTAAATAACAGTTATAAAGAATACCTTCATGTAAATCCATAACAAAAACTCAATTGATTTTAACAATTAATTCATTTTCTTTATAAGGAAGAATTAAATGAAGTTTATTTTTTAATTCCAGAGGAATAAACCTTCCTCCTAAATAATGAATTCCCTTAAAGTTTTTCACTCCTAATTTTGGGGCGGATAAAGAAATTAGAACATCACATCGTTGAATCCCATCTTGAAGATACCCTTGTTCTACATCCCACCCTGATGGTATATCAACTGAAATAATTGGAACTTTCAATGAATTAATATGATTAAAAATTTCTTTAAATATTCCTCTAACTGGTCCTTTAAAACTAAATCCAAAAACTGCATCGACTATAACATCGTACTCAAATGAAGATAGTTCTGTAACAACTGGAATATCTTGAATTTCTAATTGTTTAATAAGAAGTTGAAGATGTTCATTTTTTGATTGCTTCGGATAAAAAACTGTTACTTCATACCCAAATAAGGATAAATACCTCCCACAGACCAACCCATCTCCTCCATTATTTCCTGGTCCACAAAGTATTAAAACTCTCTTATTTCCTTTTTCAATTGAATACTCTTTTGTTACAACTTGAGCAACAGCTAGCCCAGCAATTTCCATTAGTTGTACTAATGAGTATTTGTATTTTCCCATTAATTCTTCATCAAGTTTAATTGCTTGTTCTTGTGTTAAATATTGCATTTTGTTTTCTTCTTATTTTAAGTTTTTCTTTTTAAGTTAACAAAAATAAGACATTTTTTCAATGCA